TTATTTTCAGGATTTTTAGGAAAGGGACACTTTCATCTCTGATATAAGGGAGAATTTCCAAATATGGAAAGAAGTGGCTGGGGTAACACTGTGTTTCATTTATTACATGAGCAATATCTTAGCAAATAGAAGATATAAGAGGCTCTTATTCATCTAATTTGAACCAGTGCTGCATTCAACATACCACGTGACACACAAAAATCAATGTTAACGAACATCAATTAAGTTGAAACTGGCTAAAAATATAAAATGTAATTTTCCAATCAACAATAACAAAAAAAAATTCTAGAGTAAAATGAATCATTTTTAATCTTGTTTCAAAACAGTGTTCCACAACAAAATTTTGGAAATTTCACAGCCTATAAAATCATAGAAGTACTAAGTCAAATTATATGAATTTTTTAAAGCCAAAATAGATACAATTTTGTAAATTTGTACTGTGAGTTTCATGAAATGTGGTCAATTATTTTCACTGTGAGAAAGAAAGGGTTAAATTCCATTCCAGATTCATATTGGCTGCAAAGAAAAATATGAATAAATATACTCATGCAAGTCTTAGTTGTATGTTTATTACTTTTTAAGGATGATACGTCTATGTTATTAAAATTTTCACATTTTTATTTTTTTTTGCTTATCTCTCCCTTTCATTTTCTTGTCTTCCAAACAGTTTCACAGAAATTTTATACTAACCCAAAATTAAACCATTATGCCGGTGTCATTCACTTCTTCTATATTACATTTTGTAGTAAAAAAAACTAGAAAATTTCCAAACTGGAACACTTTGTTTCAGTGCATTGCTAACTACTTTATTAAATAAGGCTTCATTCTTTTCTAAGTTGTAAAAAACTATTTTGGGATGATATTTTTCACGTTCAAACGTGCAGAATTAAAAACTATGTAGGGTCATTCAAATAATTATGTAATGAAGCCTTGCCAAACCATATGGATACTTGTTTTAAGTGTAGTTAGCTAATTTTGCTCAGATACATTTAGAATGTTTAATTTTATAGAGAATAAAGTGTTTGCTTATTGCAAAAGCTATTTTTTTCATATTATACTTCTTATTCTGACTTTGGAAAAATGTATATTTTTTCAACTGTGTCCTCAGCTGATCTTGCTTCAAGGTGGAGAATAATAAAACAGTGCTCCAGATGATTTTTCAGTAAGGAGTAATCACTCTCAGAATTCTGTCAGTGGGAGTAATTAATTTTTTACAAAGTACAGCAGTAACATTTTGTGATAAAAAGTTATTTAACTAGTTACGAATTATTTTATTATTTCAAAAGGTGAAATTTGGTACAGAATTAATTTAGCTAATTTATTTCTTAAAGGAATCACAATTTTCCCCACTTCCTAATGGTTATGAAGATTATACATTTATCAGCTGTGTACCTATAGAAAACCGAGTCAGAGGATCCAAAAGACCAGAAAAATTTCAAGACTGTGAAGTAAGGTTTTTAAATACTCATTAACTTTATTGTATATGTGCTATTGTTCTTCCAATGTTATACTTACTAGACTTCAGTTTGCTGTGTTGCAATTTGAGGAATATGGCAATGACTTTTATTATTTACTTAAAGCAGCGTTTCCCCAACCATGTTCTGCGAAACACTAGTGTTCCGTCTGAAATTGATAGGTGCTCCGTGAGAAAATCATGATTTTAAATTTTATTAAAATATTTAACACGTTTTACGATCATAAGTTATTATGAAATATTTTCCTATGTATTAGAATTAAATTTCACATATATATTGATTTGGCATTAAAGAAGAATTATAGAAGATGCCATATCTATTCTACATATTAACTTAGTGGAGAGGTTTGTATTTAAAATATATTATAAGCACAAAAATGTAAAAATTCATCAATATGTAATTTGATTAAATAAATAAATGAATAATATACAAATCTAGAAGGCACTGCATGCCACTAATGTCTCTATTTTTAATTTAAAATCCAAACCCCCAAAAATGTTATAAGTGTTCCTTAAGCTTTTTTCAGATGAAAAGTGTTCCATGGCCAAAAAAGTTTGGGAAACGCTGACTTAAAGCATATGAATATCTTAACTGTTGTATATTGAACATAATCTTGAAGTGCTTACTACATGTACAGGAGTGGTTTTTGTTTTCCTTGTAGAACGTAATCTTATTTTTGCAGGTTAGAAAGATTGTAAAAGTATCATACGCTTTTTATAATTGTGACTTTATGTTGTTTTTTTATAGAATTATGAGGGATACAGATACCCATATTTTTTTGTTCTAAAACCCAAACATATTTGATTAGTTATCCCTTTGTGTTCCCTGAGAATTTTCTTTAAAATGAAATATTAACTTTAACGTAACATGTTGCTTATGTGTGCTGTTTCAGTAGTAGGTTATTAAAGTAAATCAGTGCCTTTTCAATCGTAGGTCTTGTGCTTGATTTGTGTCGCCACCAAATTTGCCTGCCCTGTTAGACATGGAAATGTTATATTTTTCCATTATTATAGGAAAGCTACTAAGGCTATCTGGTATGTCTAAAGACTATATTGCTAAAATCTGGGTTTAAATACCTGTGGTGGGCACAGCACAGATAGCTCATAGTGTAGCTAAAAAAAAAAAAAAACTAAGGCTAACATCCACTGCCTTTTATTTTGAACTTCTGACTAGAGGAAAGGCAACTTGCTGGTAGCACCTACTGCAAGCTCTTTTGATCCTATTTGGTGGGAACAAGTACCATCATTTGACACTGTACTGATAGAATGTAATCAATTAATGGGGCCACCAGTGTATCGATTACCAAATACTGCTAATTGCTCAAATCTGTCTGCTTGTACAGTAAACATTCTTTACTGTTTTTTTTTGGTTATTACAAAAAACCTGAACATCTGTCTTGAAAATTAAGACTTAATATTAAGACATAATAAGTCAATACAGGCTCCTGTTCAGTTGATTAGTTATTTTCTATAGATTAAATTTTTATACAGAAACTACCTGTGTTTGTTAAATTTAATATATAGTAACTCGAAGCAGGACACCTGACCAGTTTATTTATTATTTTCTGTATGTTTTAGGCCTTTTACACAAACATCTTGAGTCTATATTAAAGACTGTTTTTGTAATGTGAACACACAATGAACAGTTACACTTTATGTGCGTTATTTTTAGCATGCTAGGTACCAGGCAAGTTGATGGCATTTTAAAACAGATGAATAATCAAATTATGTTGACATGTAACATGTCTGTTTAAACATTGCAGATTCATTAAAGCTGTTACAGTTCATGCACTTCAATTATTGTAAGGTTAAGAATAAATACTTCAAAACCTGCAAAAGAAATTGTTTTTTAACTTGAAGCTTAATATGTTAATAAATTGTTACTCTGTTGCCTGTTATAGAAAGTAATAGCATGTCACTTGAATTAAAACCACCATGTAGTAGTGAGAATGAGAAATCAGTCATGTTCATTTTACTTATCAGATGATCATGATGTGTGGTCTTCCTGCTTGTGGTAAAACAACTTGGGCCTTAGAGTACTGTCTTAAGCATCCAGAGATGAAATACAATGTACTTGGGACAAACAACATTATTGAGAAAATGAGGGTAAGTCTTGTTTAAAAATATATGCTGAATAAAATAGTATTTTTCATTTCTTTATAAACATATAATTTGTTAAATTCAACATGTTCCATAATTTCTCGTAATTTTCTTATTTATAATGAAAGCATTTTCAGGTATATTGTAAGATACATTTTGTTTAACAAATATTCTTATTTAATTAATGTATTGACAAGTATTATTTTAACTGACTGGAAAAGCACCTCATAATAGCCATACAGGTTATAAAATACCCCTGTAAGGTCGCAAAAGGTGCAAAATTAATATGTTTGAACTTTGATTTTGGTTTTCTGTTTCAATGAAAATATTCAAGTTTAACCATACAAATATTTACTAATTTGGATTTGTCACTAATGTTGTTGGTACATGTTTCAAAAGATTTGTAAATTCAGTTTTTTAAATAATCTTACTGGCTTATAGACTGATTTGCATGTCGTGATGTCAATAAATTGTACTCAAGTGATAGCTTGTTTGTTTTTACATCAATGCAATATTTGAAACTGCTTCCCTCTTTTTTCCAGACATCTATCTTGTATTTATGTTACACTTATACAGTGTGTGAAAAAGTTTAGTCATTTATATTCATAAGTCATTTGTTTATTTTTATACTCAAATAATACTAATTTATGTGATGTTATGATTAGTGATTACTGTAATAGCCTCCAGTAAATTAACATTTATCAGTATGTGGCTTTATGCAACTACATACATGGTAATTCTGATATGGTATTTCCTCCTTTCACAAGAAAAGCTATTTGCGTTCAGTGCTGCCCTCTGTGTGCGACAGTTTCTTTATACATTCTACAAGCCTTCTGCTCCCCCCTATTGGAATTGCAAGATTCCAACACATTTCTCATGTAAATCATAATGCATCACCTCTTCTCCAATAGGAGCATGACATGCTCACGTTTGGCAGTGCTTGTGTTCGGATGTGCTCTTTTGTTTCCTCTTGTTTCATGTTTGACTTTGTTTCCTCTTGAAGTGGTTGTTTTTTTAAATTAATTTGCTTTCATTCAGCTTGTTTCTTCTATTAGTATTTATCAGTAATTCTATTTGCTTTCTTTTCTGCACTCGAAGTTGGTAAACCTTTCTGTGCAAGGAATTTCAAAGTTAACATTACCACTTCAAGGGTTACACCTACAACTACCCTTTTTTTTATCAGCCCTCAGGTGTGGGTGACATGATGGTGGATTTATCTATTTTTATGAGCCAGGAGATCGAATGTTACATTGGACAACTTTTGTCCCCAGACATTGGCCAGGCTCCTCCAGATTTTGCATTTTCTTCCCATTCCCAACTCGATAAATCCACTAGGCCTAATGCAGTCGTTATAGATTGTGTTTTAGGTTTGTGATGTTTTATCCTTTTCTCCTATTTCTTATTCACCTTGTCCTTCCTTATTGCATAAACAGTCTTTCTAACCCTTTTTGGTTTTCCTTTCTCACCTGATATTCAGGTTCATGCTGATCAATTTGCCTCACAATTAACCCTCTCACTACGGGGTTGGTCAGTTAGACTCTGTCATATGACCCTTTGTACTCATTTAAAGTCTTTATAAAAATAATACTTATAACTCTCAATATATTGGGTTATATTCCCAAAATTTGGCAGTTTTTCAGTTAATATTACAAGTCTTTCACATACAAAAAGTAATATTTCTTAGTGAAGTATTTTTAATAAAATAAAGATTTGTCCATGAATATATTGAGTATTTGTTTTGAATAGTCTGTGTGCAAATTAATTTTCATGTTAAAATTAAAAATACTTTTCCTCATCTCAAAAATTTCAAATTTCCTTTGTGTAATCCCTAAAACCTCCTAAATGCATTTCAAACGGTTTTTTTCAGTAAATCCTTATAGTTTATATGTTATTTTCTCTACCCCCTCTAAAAATGGGTAAGTAGCTCTAAGTTTGTAACATTATACATATATTTATAATTAAATTTTATTGTTTTATTACCCTTTGAACCATGTCTAACTACTGTGTGCCATTATAAGTTGTAAATCACTTGGCGAATGTGCAGCTAACATTACGCTATCGAATTACATTACCCACGAGCTGCTCGCATGCGTGTCTAGTGAACCATTTTAATTATATTATTATTATTACTTATTTAACATGATCTAGTCTTAAATAACTTAAAAAGATCCACATTTTTAGATTTTGGTTACTTTTATTGTAATAAATAAAAAATAAATGTGAAAAACAAGAAGTAAAGTTCTTACCCAATCTTCTTTTTTTCTTGCCCTCGATTGTCGAGGAGAGTTAAGCCTGATTTTTGATAGTAATTATAGTAAAGCACTTAAATTTTTTTATTTAATTCAATAATGCACCAAAGAATATAGACCAATGACATGCAAAAAAGTAGACAAATTCACTTACCTCTCAAATGTTTCCTGGCTTTCTAACTATGTGGCAAGAGCCGTTACAAATTCATCCAAGCTAGTCGTTAACTTTCCCATGGGAACGAATCTTGTACTGAGTGTGAAATTGACAATATTCTGTTCAGAATACAACGTTATACAATACGTCATTTTATAGATGAAAACCTTAACTTTCTATTGGTTATAGGTAATATATAATAAAATATAAGAGAGAATTATCAATGAATTCTGAAAGAGAGGATGTCTGATTTTCTATTTGATAGCTCTGTAATCAAAACAGAATTGAAGGCTATAAAAATTATGGTTTGTTTGAGCAGTAACGATTTTATAGAGAGTATTTTTTGTTTAATTTCGTACATTTTCGAGGGGTGATGGATAAAATAAGGATGATGACATGCTAAGACAACATTGGTCACACTAGTGGAAATTCAGGATTTTTAAAAATATTTACTTGTAGAATTAAGAACTTGAAACTTGTATACTATTAAAATATGGATTATTATGCTATTCTAATTGGTATAACATAAACAAAAAGTGATTTCATAAATTTTTGAATGTAAGACACTAAAACCTTGTGTCATGCTCAGTAAAGGGTACCTAGGGTTCTGATTAGTTTGCACTTTCCTACAAACATGCTGACTATCCATTTTTAGGCCAGCAGTTGCTAGATTCCTTATTACCTATTAGTGGGGTGGGTCCCCAATCATCTGTCAGTCTTACCCATGCCCATTATTCTTGGATGCGTCTTACCCTTACAAATCTATAACGGTATCTTTCTTCCATACACTTTCCACTTGAGGCTCTCCACAGAACTTCTGGGTTTTTTTTTTAGATACCCTTGCCCTTCTGTCCTCCACTTTAGCCTGTGTTTCTCCTTCGGCTCTGGAGTTACACACGTGGTTTCTTTGTTGTTGGGACCTTATAGGTTGTGATGCCATATTGGCTTTAGTCTGTTAACTCTTGACATATCTTAGGGATTTATGTTTAGCCCCATTTCAGCTTTTGCGTTTCTTCATCACTGGCATTCCTTTGTCAGCAATGATTTGGTGCTTCGAATTCTATCAGAAGGATTCGTTGTCCAATTTCTTTACCCACCTCCTGTTTCCCTCACTCCTCCTCGAGATTCCATGACCTACCAGCATCTGTCAGAATTGTTTCGGGAATTGCTGTTGCAGCGGGCCATTAAACATGTTTAATCCTTCCTGGGGTTTTTATTCCCGCCTTTTCATTGTTCCCAAGAAAACCAGGGATTTGGTTTTTCTCTGGGGTTGTGGATGACCAAAATGGATGACTTCAGTGCTTACCTACATATACCAATATCACCTCAGTCTCGTCCTTATCTTTGGTTTATCAATTTCTGGTCCTCCCCTTTGGACTTGCCTTGACATCTCCATGCTCTGGGGCTGCAATTTCATTATTACATGGATGACTGGCTTCTTCTGGTTCATTCCAAACAGGAATTGGCCAATCATACTCAGCAGCTCCTTTCTGAGGCAGATCGGGTGGGCTGGTTGATCAAACTGGACCCACTCAATATCTTGTCCATTTGGGGGCCTTTTTCAACACTCATACCAGTTGGGCCCTGCCTTCTCCTTTAAGACTTCGTTAAATGGAACTTTTGTTTTGCCACACACTCTTGGCTCAGTCACTTACTGATCTAGAGGTTCTATTGCTTTTGGGGGTGTGGCCATCAATAACATCACTCTTTCCCCTCAGTCGTGCCCATATGAAATTCTTTTAGTGGGTGCTTCACAATCATTGGAACCTTGCTCAGGATCCTCTTTCCACCCCATTACCCTTCCTTTTTCCCTGCGAGATGATCTTCTTTGGTGGTTGGACAAAGCCCATACGTCGGCAGGCATGCCGTTTCTTCCTCTCTGTCTGGATCTACATCTTTTCACAGATGCAACCCTACAGGGATGGGGAGCATGGGTCAATCACCAGGAAGCTTTGGGCTGTGGACAAAACCATTTTGCATATCAATGTTCTCGAACTTCTAGCTGTACGTTGGGCATGTTGTGTCACTTCCTGCTTCTCTTTGGACATTGTCTGGTGAGGGTTCATTCAGACAATTCTATGGTGGTGGCACATATCAACCACCAAAGTGGCACCTGGTCCAGAGATCTCTGTTTTTAGATGTTGGATCTCTTGTACTGGGCCCACACACACATCACATTCATCTTATTGCGTGTCATGCTAGGTGCTTTCAGTCTGGTCGTGGATCATCTTTCGTGCCCTGACGGGATATATCCTACAGAGTGGTCCTTAGATCCCTTCATTTTCAGGGATCTTTGCCATCGCTGTCTTGAGCAGTAAAAGATACATGGGGTAATAGGGTTAATGGGGAAAAAAAACATTAAGAAAGTAATATGTGTGTGTTTACATGTTGCTGTTGTTAAATTTTTTTATTGTCAGTGATGGTTATTATAAAGCATTCCAATATTGTTCTTTTTGAAGATATAAAGATTTTCTATCGTATTTGAGTTAACTTAATTCTAAGTTAAACCTTATAGGTGATGGGTCTTCCCCGTAAACGTAATTATGCAGGAAGATGGGATGTTCTTATTCAGATGTCAACAAAGTGCTTGAACAAGATGATGCAGATAGGTTCTCAACAGAGACGCAATTACATTTTAGATCAGGTAAAGATTTTTTATTTCTTTGTCAGTTACTATATTAGCTAATTGGTTGTTACAAAAAATAGTAAGACAGAGTTGATATTATAAATATCACTATTGTTAGTATTTTACAATAGTGCAATTTTATTTACTTATTCATATACAATTTTACAAATAAGAATTATTTAATCAGTATAAAAAAAAGTGAAAGGACTACAGTTAGATAGACTGAATTTTATATTCAGAAATTTTATTCTTCTTCTAAATAGTGCTTCAACTTGATTATCATTGTGCAATCAAAATTATAATTATTAGTCTCACAAGTATTACAAGTAAACTAGAGAATCATAATGTCTAAATAAATGTGAAAAAAACCTGAAGACTGACACATAAAGTGTGGAGTTTAGAAACAGGTTTTAATGAAGTAGTCCTTATTCTACATAGATGTGCATGTGGTATGTTTAGAAACAAACATATGTGACAAGTGAGTTTTATGCTAAACTAGAATTGAAATAATTAAGCAAACAGAACATGTTACACTTTTATTCCTTGGCATGCTAGCTTTTAACTTTGGAAATGGAAATTAGATTCCTTATCTGTGTAATGTTGTTTACATTAATATGTTAAAACAGAAGTGATTGAAACATATTTGACTGATAGCATCTTTTGCAGTCTCATTTTTCTAATGTTCTACATCACATTTTTCCTCAAAGTTTTCTCTGAGGGAGAGTAGGACAGTTGTATATTTTTATTTTTTTATCTCTAAAGTTTTTCTAAACTAGAAGGAATGTTTTTTTTTCTCAATAGAACTGATTAAATCTGTTGCACATAACTCCATTGATGACTTATCAGAAGACTGCACAGACTTTTTAATAGATGCTGATTACTGTGATTTTCGTGTAATGTCCTGAACCTGTTTTTACAAATGAGGGTGAACAAAGCATTTGACTTTTCACAGTTGAGCTTAAATTTGCTTTCCTTCCTTGTATAAATCACAAAAGTTATCTTTGGTATCTTTGTTAACTTATTTTATAATTTTTCCAGTCTTCTGAACCTTAAAAACATTGGGAATTCTTTTGTGGTATTCTACATTATAGACCCATTGTACGTGAACATAATAGAATACTAATGTTGTCTGGTATGGAATCGGTTTAAATTTTCAAGTCTCAGAGCAGTTGTAGGGTCAGCGAACTTTATGTTGAGGGCTGAAACAGCAAAATAATAATGCACTGAATTTCTGTATCTCCTAGTATGGAGAGTACATAACTAATATTCTTGATATTACATTTCTCATAAACTTGTGAGGTGATTAGTCCTTAAGCGATTCTTGCAAAAACTGAATATCAGCATCATTTTTAAAGATTATTTAGAAACAAGTCCCAGTGTCATAGAACAAATAAGTAAAAAGTACCATTAAGTAAGACCAGTTTTGACTTCATAAATACCAGTATCAAGAAAGTAATAGTATGAAAATTGTAATAATATAGCTTGAAATACTGTTTCCATGTGATGCATGAAGAAGTGTATTTGTGTATGCTAATTTTAACATTCTATACTTTCAACAAAAAGTACACACTTTTTATAAACTGATTACAGAACTTGTTTCTTATATCATCAGTATTCTCAACTTTGCTTCAGATCCTCACCAAATTTGGAATTAGAATGTTAGGCACTAAAATATAATTTCATGATGATGGGTCATGCACAAAATCTAATACATTTTAAATATATATTAAAGATTTAGGTGCTATTTAGCAAAAAAAAAGTATATTTAAATCTGGTAAAAGAAACAATAACAAATATGAGTCTCATTAATTTTTAATTTGTACTTGAGGCCTTTGAAGAATATATAAAGCAGATTGGGATGCTAAACTAAATAATTGGATGTCTAATTAGAATTTCTGTTAGAATTTTAACTGAAGACAAATTAACTGCTATGTTCTGATTTAGTTGACTTAAGATTGAAGAGTTATAAGTCACAGATACATTTCAACAGAATTTTCAGAAAAGGAGTAGCTAAATCAAGTAGGCAAATACTACATATGGGAAGGAATAGCAGCAGTTATTAACATAAATTTTGAAAACAGACTTGTAGTTACTGTGGACTTTATTTCCAGTAGGGATATTTGGAACTGAGATTGTTTAATTTCATAATATGTTGTTACTCTAACAAGTATGTGAAGCTTGTATATTAAAAGTAACAATAGCATCTCAGTCACTGGTGTTCAGGAAAGCAAATTGGCATGGTAGACTTGAAAAATAGGAACTGTTTTGTTGCAAAATCTGGTTAGCTACTACTGAAGCTGGCATGCCTGTAAAGTATAGTGTAACATTGTTTTTTCTAAACATACACTTAAAAGGGACACATGATTTTAATTAGTTTTTTACTTTTGTTGAATTTTGAGTTATATTATATTCATTGCTCATTTCATTTAATGTAAGTGTATGGGCCAAAAAGAATTTCTATTGTCTGCAGATTTATTTTTCTCTTATTCCACTTAATTACTTCTTTGTTGTTTTTTGTATCACGTATCTGTGAAAATAGCATTTCAAATTAATAGGTACCTCTGGTGCCACAAGTCATTGTTTAGGGGGCCTTTGATTTAATACCAGAACTCATCAGTTGGACTGGATATATGGCAGCCAAATTTGAATTGCTATTTTTACATATAAAAAGGACTAATTAAGTGAAATGTGAAGATAAAAATAGTTGCAGTCAAGTGTGATTTTAGTCATATGTTTGGCTTAAAAAAAGCCTTGTTGCATTTCCAGCTTAGGCTTTTTTTTTCATCACTGCATTAACATTTTATTTTGTGTTTTATTCACTTTATTAATCAGTTATGACACTAGGTTTTAGTTTAAACCTCTGTTATTTGTATTTAATAAGTCATTAAAGTATAGTTCGTTTCAACTTTTTTAACCCTTTCCTGCTTTGCACTAGTCATAATAGGCAGTGTTGGTCACCTATATCTTGTAGAAAAACAAAACAAGATACAGGATTAAAAAATGTTTAATGTGGGCCAATTGCTAAAATAAAATACATAAAAGTAGAGATAAGATTATTCAGTTATTTGCTGGAACAAAAAAAAAAATATACATTTGCCCAGCCACTCTGTTCGTACATAATTTTGAAATTTTAGCTAATAATAACTAAGAAGTATATTGTAAGTTGTGTTTTGTAGCCTAATTTGGATGAAAACAGTTTCATTCAAAGTAAAAAATACACCATTAACATTTTTCATCTTTATGTATTTCACTACTTGCACAGAAGTGTTTAAGGTTGCTCAAACAAGACTTTTTGTTTTGTTTGAACATCTGAATATGTTTAGTATTAAATGAAGAAAACTGCTTTTTACAAGCTGAACTTGAACCAGCTAAGAGAACATTGAGTGGTGATGAAGAGTGAGGCAGGCCTATCATCTAAAAAGATATATATATATATAAGTTATGCTAAAGAAATATTTATTATGATGAAAAATGTTCACTAATTGTTTTTGAACACTATCTAAAACATTATTGTCAGGTGATCTTAATCAGAATCAAATAGCCTTGTAGTTTTTTTTTGCCAAGCAGGAAAGGGCATAGTAGTGTATTTTGATTTTGTAACATATTTAATCATAGAAAATAAAAGGTGAGATTTTAAGCTAGTGCATTGAAATCCAACTGGCTAAGGTGTCAAGAAGGTAAGAAATACTTTTTTTTACGTGTTTATGAAAGAAAATTGGCCTTTACTGGAATATAAGTAAGGTAAGTGTGCTGTATTATTATAAGAAACAATTTTGAGATGTTTGAAAACTGATTAATGGCACAAAAACTCTATCAACAATGAACTGCGAAGCTTACGTGGGTTCGGAAAAGGCTCATCAAGGTGGGGTTGTAGAGAAAAACATCTGTTCACTTAATTAATCTGGAAACTTGAAAGGAAACTTGTAAGTTTAAAGTTGCAACTCTAAAGTGCTTATCTTTTAAGTTATGTAAAAGTAAAATGTAATTAAGAAGCTAGTATTAGAATAACATTGAAAAGGTTTGAAGCGTGATATTGTCAGGTAGTAATGCTTGAAGTATAATTGTAATATTGTGTAAATACTGTTTGTTGCTCAAAAACCATCATTTCTTCATGTGAACTGTTAAACCATTTTGTAGGATGTACAATAGATTCTTTACTTTTTACACTTGTCAAAAGTAACAAGTAAGATATACAGCTATAGGTATTGTAGAAAAATAACTACTTTTTACTTTTAAGCTGAGTAATGCAAATTTCATTATTTTTCAAACATCTAGTAGTTAAATTAGCCATCCTGTTTTATGGATGTATAATCTTCAGTAGTTATAACTTTACATTTATATCTAGAAACTCGTTTTTTAAGTCTTCAGCTTGTATATGTAAACACCTATAAAATTAGTGTTTTTTTTTTTTTTATGTAGAACTGACAATGATAATAAAGATAAAACACCAGTATGGTATACCTTATTATGGCTTAAGAACTTTGTTAATATATTATAGTGAAATGACTCCATTTTCAGAAATATAGGATTGTATTAAACATATTGCTATATTTATCAAAAGAGAGAGAGATTGAGATTTAAGGCTTTGTTGGAATTTTTTGCACAATTTTGTACCTTACAATGTCAGAGGCTTATTTTTTGAAATCTATATAATTGGTCAAAAAGCCTGTAATAGCTCTTAAACTTTTTAAATGCTTGAATGTGTAAATAATCTAAATTTACAGAAAAGAATATTTTGCTGTTACTTAAAATGTAAATCTTAATTGTAGCAGTCATACATATGTTCTGAAGCAGACAGCCAGTGACACAAGAATGTTCTCATTTGGATGATTAACCTTCATTGTGAGGTAGAAGTTAAGAAACAACTGTGTTTGAAATATATACCCACATTTGTTTCTACAGAGTCAAATTTCCATTTTGGATACATACAAAGCTAACCAAAACAGCTAATTTAGTTAAAGTCTGTATTATACAAACTATCCTGTACTGGACTGTATACATGCCTGTACTAATACAGTTTAAAATTAATTTTATAATCTTGAATATTTCTTTCATAAATTGTAGAGAATCAACAAGGTTGTCAAGCTAAATGCATGTTCTACTAGATTAATAGAAAAAGTAATTGTTTTTTAATTGAAGCGATCTTCCTTGACTAAGAAAATTGACTAGTTCAAAACATCACTAACTGTTGGTTGTTTTACCATACATTGGAATGTATATTTATGAGATCAGAAGATGGCTGAGGGAAATTTTATAGATTTATTAACCTCCGGTGAAGTTGCAAACAGTATTTAAGTCATAGTTAAGACAAAAAAAAACTTTAATTTCAAAGACTGGGTGCTGATGTTACAAATATCACATGCTATATGAGTATAAATGTGTCATATTTTAATTGATGTATATGGGTACTACTAAGAATATCCTAGATAGTCATTATTAACAATGTGCACAGAACTTGGTTAACAGTAATTCAAGTATCTACCAACATTCATTGAAAAGTAATGTACCAATTATAGTTTAACAGTTTACCATCATGGATGGAGCTCATAATGAAATAAGGAGGCCATACTAATCAAATGTCATCATCCAAAGTTGAATTGGGAATATTCTTTAATCTCCTTTTCAAACTATGAAGATGTGAAATGAAACATTTTAGAAATGTGAATATAATACAAGTATTCATTATGTTATCATAAAAATTAAATGTAGAAAATTCATGCAAACCTGTAGTTGAGAGATATATTGAGTGAAAAACTATCAGTACAAAAAAAAGGATATGCAATACAGTTGTCTAACTACTTGTGTTTTATTTAAAAGTATTGAGTATTATTGATTTCCAGTCATCTCCATTTCTCTATCAGAAAGCTTCAATGAAGTAAATGCCATTAGTCAAAATTGTTTACATCATTACAGTCAATCAGTACAAATTGATTCAGTTTGATTTATAACACTGAAGTCATTAAGTGTAACACCAGAATGAGAAATTTCATTATTATTATTAATTTTTTTTATTTATTCTCAATAAACTTGGCAGTATCTTCTTTCACAGAAAATGCATTAAGTTAAAAAATAAACTATAGTTTGATTCTGCAATGAGAACTACTAAAGAGTAAAAAAAAAAATGATGAAGTTCCAATATTTTTGAGGAATATATATTTTATGTCCTTGCTTTAGTTATAATATCTGGTTTATGCACAAAAAGGCTATTGAAGTCATATATGTATCGTTAAATTGTTTTTTAATGTGCAATAAAGATTCTAAGAAAAGATTGTAAATTTGAAATTGTACAGTTTAATATTTGAATACACAAAGAAGTTATTAAATTATTTAAGAATGAAATATGAGGGTGTGTAAATATTTAGTATTGAGCAAGAAATATTGAACTTTGAAGGTTCATAAATTGATATGTGTATGAGGTTAAGTGTCATTTTGAGGGAAGCAGGCTCAACTTTTGTAAGTTTCAGTAATGTCTTTTGGATGATGAACAAAAAAAAATTATATGAAAAGAAAATTTACTGGCCTAGAATTTATTAGTACATTGCTAAAACTATGCCTTAGCTTTAAAATGAGCAGAAATATATTTAAGAGATAATGCACTTTGGTATAGGCCATAGCTCTATAGTTGACAGGCTTTTTTAGGTACCAACCGCAATCTAATAACTGATATAAAGACAGTATATATTATGCAGTTAGTTCCTTAAGGAGTAATGTATAAAATTAATAATGCCTTTAAAATTTTCAAAATTAGCATAAAAGCCTGTCCATTTTAAAAGAAAGGTTGATTAGAAAGCTCATTATTTCATATCTTAAACTGGAACCACATGGAAAGGATATTGTTTAAAGATGTTCTAAAAACAAACTGACTGGACCAAAAGTTGTCTATAAGAAAACTGGAAAGTTAAGATAATTGAAAAAAAGAGAGAACTGTGACGAAAAAATGTATACATAAAAATTGTACACATTATGCTATTTTAAAGTAGTTTATAATACCCGGTTCTGAACATGACTGGGTTGCCTCTGGTCTCTCTGTCTCTCTCTTTCTGGACATTTGAATAATAATATTAGTAGTTTTTTTGGATTGTTATACTTTATATAGCAAACAAATACTAACTAATTCATAGTTCCTATCAGCAATAGTGTATTAACTCAGCTATGCACTGTATGTATAGATAGACAGATGGTTTTATTGGTCCCACAACCATTTTTTTAACAAAACTATACAAAATCAAAAGAGAGCAAATAAATCAGATTGTTTTAGAATTTAAAAAAATTCAGTTTGTATGTTTGTTCATGTATTGAGCATTAGACTTTCGTTTTGACAGTAAAATTGGAACCTTACTGATCATATTTGATCTTAAAAGCAAACATAGCAGCTGTAAAAAATAAGCAATTTCCACATTAACTTTGGAAGTGTACAAAAATGTTTAATATTGTTTATCTCTTGAGCACTGAAAGCTTATGTCAAGTTGACCTACAAGACAAAATTTAGGAACATAACTAAGCTAAAAAACACGAGAGACATTTGTATGCTTATTTTCAACACAGAGCTACACAATGAGCTGTTTGCACTCTGTCCACCGCAGGGAACCAAACTGCTGGATTTTAGTGCTGCAAGTCAGTGAACTTACCACTGACCAACTAGGAGATCAGTCTGTATGCTATTAACATTTTAAAATTTAATGAAATAATTTTATCTTGATGGCCTGTTAATGTTCAAAAACCTTAAAATCATAAATCAAAGAAAAAATGCATTTCAGTAACATTGTAGCAACAGTGCGAAAACAAACAAAAAATAAACACATGTTCACTAAGTAGTGAAAAATGTGGTAGAATGAAACTTTGAAGAATTACTACATCTAATCAAAGCTGATGATATTGTTCTATAGCTTTATAGGCTGATTATATTTTGCACCATATGAATTTTGCTTTCACACTACTCCTTCTAGTTTATTAAGGTTATAACTGCCAGTTATTTTCTAGGCAAATGTTAGACATAGAATAAGTCTTAATTTATTAGAACGGTGCAAATTCTATTGTATGTGAATGTAGGAATTTGTACTTCCTGTATAAGATTCTGTTATTAAACTGAATCTCCTTTTGGTTTGTTGCAACTGGCAATTTCCAGATAAGACTTTTGCTTTACATTTATCCATTTAATTCTGTATGATATAAATTTGTATTAAATTACAATTATGTAGAATCTGTCAGAAGCTAAGATAAGCGTGAAGGAATTGGGATTGGTGGGAATGCTGTTATGAATGTTCAGATGTTACTTGAAATAATTTTTTGAAATTAAGATAAATGTGTAACTTTTACATACTTAGTAACAATTTAGTATTAACCTTTTAATATTTGGGATGAAGCATCCTGTCAGAGTTGCAGTTGTAAAACAAATAAGCTATTTTTAAGATTTAATAAGAGAATTTTGGATAATAATAGTCATATAGAAACTAAAATACTTCATAAAATATTAATTTAGCTAAAATTATATTTTTACTAGAGCTATATAGATCAATACAAGTTTCACATAAGTTACCTTTAACCTCTGCTTCAGTATATGAAATACAATTAAGAAATAGCATAATGCTGTAGTGATTATGTGAGCTAATTGTTAAGACTTTGGGTTATAATTTATTGAAAACATGGTATGTTATATAAAGTTGAGAACAAAGTAAAAGGGGGAAAATTTATTTGCATTGATGCAGTAAACTATTCTAAGATTTAAAATAGAAAAGCAAGTGAATAATTATATAAAAAATGAAAGTAAAATTTATTTTTCTTTAAAAATTTAATATATATATATTTAAAGGCATAATTTGGAACAGTAGCACACCTTTCAATCACCTACAACAACTAATGGTAAGTACTAAAGGGGGGAAGAGAAAAATCAAACAAAATTAATTTAGTTTTCAGTATCAGTTATTACAGAAAAATGAGCTTCAGGGGACTTATTACCCTGCTCCTATAGGAGCCAACTTTGAGCTTGATCAAAACCTGATATTGTCTATTCCACTACGGCAGACCAATGTGTACCCCTCGGCTCAGAGAAGGAAAATGCGTCCTTTTGAAGGGTTCAGGCGTAAAGCTGTTGTGATAGTACCTCATGATGAAGAGTTCAAAAGGAGACGTGAGAAACAAGAAAAAAAGGAAGGCAAAGATGTTCCTGACTCTGCTGTTTTGGAAATGAAAGGTAGGCTGTCCTGGTAGAGTACCTTGCTGTAAAATCAGTGGATGATAGTGACTTTTCTGTTTACCTGTAGATTGAAAATGATGTGAACATCTTGTCCCTGGCTCAGTGCCAAATTTTATCCTAAAGAGATTCCTTGCTCTGTTTGTGGATGTCAAAACACAACTGACTAGGATATTTAGGTAAAATTAGGCAGCTAGGGATGAGAAGAAGCTTTGTGTATGTTGAAACACTAAAAATCTACTGATATCTTATGACAGCAAACTTTGAACTTCCTAATGTTGGGCCATTATTTGATGAGGTGATTTTCACTGATCTTCCAAGAGAAGAGGCTGAAAAACTTGTGAGGAAGTACAATAGTGAAGGCCGAGCTGCAGTAGGTCCTCCTCAGAAACGCTTCCGTCCAAATGATCAGTCTCCATCACGAGGGTCACCAGGTTAGTTATGAATTATCTTGTAAGCAGTACATAATTACTTGCCTTTTTTCTTTGAAAACTTCATGAAAAAGTGTAATTTTTGGTATAATTTATGATATAACAACCTTATATTTCTGAAAAATGCTGCATTTAAAGGTTGATTTCCTATTTAAGTACTATTTTTTTTTCTGAACGTGCTCCATTAATTAAGATTGTATTTTCATTGACCTATTTAAATATCATAATTAATGTAGCATTCAAGACTGGTGTTCTTTCTAATTGAGCAGAAGCTTGCTTATCAAGTATTACAGAGTTCCTAGGATTATTAATTTACTTTTTTCTCATAAACTGGGTTTACTTCCCTGTAATAAGGTAAATTTGTTCTTTGTTTTATTCTATGAAGGTTATTATTTCAACTAGACTGCTTAAACTGTTGTGTCATTAGAGTAAGGGGACAGCCTCAATTCTACAGATGTCTTTGTGTGGAGCTATATGAAATGTTATTAATGGACAGTTTTGTACATTTTATACAGCTACATATTGTCAATAGAAGTGTACATACAGCAGAACAAAATGTATATTTTGTTCCAAAATTTCAATATGCCTAGCATGATCAGAGCTATTTGAATATCTGTCCATTAAGGGCTGATCAATTATACAATGATAAATGTCTTGTAATGCAGATGAATGTTTAAGTGTGGAGCTGATGGGATAGGTACTGATCAAATATGTGTACCATTCTAGCTATAAACTTAGCTGTCACGTTTATTAAAGTCACCATGACATAGTTATAGCTTTATAATGATGGAGCTGGATTTCATGCATTAAAAGACTTTGTTCATTATTTAAGTTTTGGATTTTTATTCTAGGCAAGCAGTAAGCAAAAATAACGTGATACTTAAGTGATTAGCTTTGGGGAAGCAATATTTTATTATTCTTGTTTAGCAGCCATACTAGCATTGCTTGGGTTATGAACTTGTTAAGTTAGTAAAATTTGATTGTCATATTACTTAAGAACTTGAAAAGTGACTCATTGCTAAGCTACAATGTTTCATCAGCATTTCAGTTTCAGGTATTTCAGTCATATAGAGACCACTGAAATAAAACTCAACAATAATAAAATTATCTAAAAGAGAAAATAATAAGCTGAATAAGGTAACAACACTGAGATTGATTGGCATGGAATTAAAATAGAGGAAAAATGGGCATTGAACACAGTATTACAGTTTAAATTAATAAAGCAGCTGTGGCTCAAATCAATGCTGAAACCAGGAAAGAATACTTAATGGTCCATATTGAAACAATGAACATCAACTATTTTGAATTTGCTTGCAAAGTGCTTATTTGCATATTCAATTAAAATCTTTTTTTTTTCTTTTATCAGACCTTATATTTACTATATCTTGAGATTTATCTTGAAAGCATGAAATCAAATGAGTAAATATATAGTGTTACTAAAGTAGATATGTACTTTGAATGTGTCAGCTAGCAGTACAACTTAGTTTCTATTTCAGCATCACACACAAATTAGATAGATGACTTAACCCTTTCACGACGGGTCCGGGTGAAAGACTATGTCATCTTGTTTCTTGACTTGCATTCAAAATTTTATTGAACTACTATTTCATCTACTGATAACACTGTTAAGCCTAACCCTACAGGGTTAAAACTAAAATGTTACACTATCCCTCTCTTCATCTTCATAGTAAAGTAATAAAGTTAATCTTTCAAATATAGAAGTAGGTGGTTTTGGTGATTTTTAAATAATGAAAATAAAAAATTCACACACCACTGGATTCCACAGTCAGAAATTTGTAGATTTACACTGCAAGTTCAGTTATGTAGTTGATGATTAACCCTTTCGAGACAGGTTACAGGTGAAAGGCCATGTCATCTCGTTTGTTGACTCGCAATCAAAATTTTATTGAAATACTATTTCATGAATTTATATCAATAAGTTTGGTATCAAACTGTAGATTATAATTCAAATTTTGGAATTATACATTACTCAATTTGTTAATTTAAAAGTATATATTAAAAAACATGGATAAACATCGATTTTAGTGTGTCACGTGGTATGTTGAATGAAGCCGTTGTTCAAATTAGGTGCTTGTGAAGTCAAAATACTAAGTCTATAGTTTCATACGAATTATAAACTCAAATTACTGATATTGACAAGCTAGAATGTAAAATAAGAACCTCCTATTTTCTATTTGCTAAGATATTGCTCATGTAATAAATCAAAGACAGTGGCACCCTGCCCACCTCAAAAGCTCAGAATGTCCCCCTAGTGGCTTTCTCAGCCATTTTAAATTCTTAGGACACCATTTCTTTCTTTTGAACCAAGAATTCAAGGAGGGTGTGTGTCTTTAGTCTGCTCAAAATTTCATATTTTTTTTAGCCCAAAATACAGCTTAGTTATTAAGCTTGATAAATTATAATGGAATTCTATTGTATTGATGTAGTAATTTATGATTTTTTTAGTTATTCAACCTTATATGAATAAAACTAAAAAAAATTAGTTTGTTTCATGTCTTTCACGTGCAAAATTTTTAAATGCTTAGCAGCCTACATCAAGCAGAAACTGAGAGAAAAGCAAATAAAGAAGTAAAGCAAACAATTATCTCTTCTAGTTATGACCTTTGCAATGTCTTAAGAAAAATAAGTTTAAGAATTTATTTCAAAATAACAATAATCTATATACATATATAATGTATAATAATTGAAATCTGACTGTATTTTACAAAATACTAGTCTACTAAAACACAGCCAAGACAAGTTACTTTGTACACACCAGAGGTCAGTTTTATGTTATTTGATATGGTAACATGAGTGCATGTAAGCCTCGTCATTGTAACTTTTGTATTGTTAACCAGACATGGCTGAAAGGTTAGTATAAAAATAATAAATATATATATAAATGTATAATGTTATGAGATTTAAGCTATTTGGTCTAAAGATTTATGTTTTCTTGTTACAATTTGTTGTCATTCGAGAATGAACGAGGCATAATTTATATTTATTTTGTGATTTTTTATGGTGGTTACAAGATCCGTCAAATCTACTAAACCTGTACAGAGATTAATTACTGAAAATAACAGATAAAATATAAAGTTTTT